GTTGCTATAATATGCAACCCCCACTAAGTTTTTTACAAACTTCAAGATGCAAATTATGTTTGCTAAAACTATATAAATTGAGCTTGTACATTCATGCATGTGCAGTATACACTGATTTTAGATTAAACTAGTACTTGGCACAAATGCAATCTTATTTTAGCTCCTTTTATAGAATTTCCTTCAATAGATATGTATCTCACTGAATTGTTTATTTACTAAGCTCAGCAGTGTTTTTTTGCTGTGTTTACATAGTAACTTTGGCAGTGTGGTCTAGCATTGGACTAGGATGACTATGTAAACTAGTCATAATTTTTTACAGAATCTATTTGTTTTGTTCTTTTGCATGAATGCTATTTCAGAGACATCAGTTTTAGACATGTATAATTTATAATACATCATTACATTGTATTCACTAAAAAGTTACACCAATGTGGGTTGTACATTTTAAATAAAAAGCTAGGGGTTTCTCAAATATGCCTTTACACCAGCATTATTTACAATAGGTGTAAATATGGCTATCACAAGATAATTAACACAGTGGTACTGACAGATTGACAGTTTCATATCTGTTCTTGTGTCCATTTAACCTTTTCCAGTAATGATAAAAAAGTCGTGAGTTATATAGAGTTGCCATATCTGTTGACAGCTAAGTCATCACGGTCATCAGTCCTGGTGCAGGTTAATTTTTATATGATTTATTATTAAAAATCAGGAATATTTTAAAATTGAATAATGTAACTTTGTGTCAGTCGTAAACCCTAGTTTCTGGTTGTTACATTCATTCAATTTTGGTGTGTGACTAGCATGGATAATTTTCATGGTGTATGTACAAATTTTGGTAGAATGAAATATTTCTCAGACCTAAAAATAACTACAGAAATACATTAGCACTGCTGATTGAGAACTAGATGTCAGTATTATACTCCAATAATCTATAACTTGGATAGCACAGTTCCTGCATATATTGTTTTCATAGGGTATCTGTAGTATAAATCATTTTTACCTCCTTGTAAGTCCATGCTGGAACAAATCAGCATATTTTCAGTTTAACAAATTATGCTGCTGGTCAATATAAGAAACAATACTTTGCAATAAGATCAATATAAAAACAGATGACTGTGGCTCTTGAAGTTAATTTTCCTACTACACAAATGCATGTGCAACACCTGTTGTAAAAAAGGCTTTAATCACTGCCATATTTAAAGCAGGAGAGTCATCACCTTGAATTGAGTCCCAAGGTAGATGCAGGTGAATCTTTAAGTCCATTCACATCGGTGTACATGTACATGCTCACACCAGTTTTTAAACCTAAAAGTATTGCATAACAGTTATGCTGGTGCTGATACCTTCTACTGGGGCCATATACTTTAGCCTGTTTATCCAGAGTAACGTTTTCAAATCTTCATACACAAGTTACACTGCTGTAAGTAACATCTATAAAGGTACACCAAAAACAAATGCGAACAAGATGCATAGGAAGAAAGTATTACAGTTTTGTTTTATTTACATGCATCATACTCTTGGTGTACTTACTGTCATTTCTGACCCAGATGGGATGTTATTAATCATGGATTTCATTAAAACTTCAAAATAGCTGACTGTCGGACATTTTGTTTCTGAAATTACTGTTTAGGAGCTGACATGCGTGGACTATTGAATTTTGTACATGTTGACTTGCCATTTTTTTACCTTAAAGTATTAGTACCAATTTTGTTCACATGCCTTCACTAATAAAACAAACACATTTTTGCTGCATGATGATTAAAAATGACACCTGGGTACATGTGTACCTCTCTGACAGTAAAGAAATTGTCTTAGGCATTTTGTGTCAAATTTGTGATTTCTAACATTCAGTTGAACCAGTTGAAACAGCAATGCATTTTTACATGCCTTCTTGATGAATGGAACGCTGCTATTACAATCGATAACAAGAGCGATATTTACTCAACCCAAGTTCCCCTTTTGACATTTATCAAACAAACTTGTCTACATGCGTCAAAAACTGAAGTAAACAACATAAAATTATTTTGTCTAAGAGTTGATACAAGATTTGTTGGATACCAAAATTTTAAATCTTGGTTATAACCATGACTTGGAGTTAAATACTCAGCTTGCTACCAGTTTAAAATCTAAATTTCCAAATCTAGTGTCTTCCTGTGGTTATAAAATATATCCCATAAATGCATAAATATTTACCCCTTGGTTATTGTGCAACAGATTTAATGGGAAGACCAATTAAATCCACTGGCAAAGATTCATTCATTATCTGATGTTGCTTTGAGAGATACTTAGTGAAGCCTAGGTATGGGTGGGTAGCACATTACATTTTGTTTTTAATTACACTTGCCAGGTAAGTATAATTTTCACCTGACACAAATAATTTTATGCTCTATTAACATGCATATTGTATGCTGAATCATTAAAATATTACATATTTTGGCTACAGAAATGGCTGCAACTTGCGGCAATGCATTGTGCTTCTAATAGAGCAAGTACAGTAACTGAATAATACTGCTTAAAAATCAAGTCACATAAGCAAAAATAAATAGCTAATTTTTGACCTGGAGTCAAAATACTTGGTATATAGGCATTTGTTTGTAGTGCTGCTAGTTGTTTCATCGTATTTATAATATGTAAAACGTTGGGAAAGAACATCCAATTTTTGACGTTTTTCAAGCTCGAGTCTCGAGATGTACTTTTCAGTTCTTGTTGCTTGCTGTCTATTTGTCACAATTTCCCTCCATATCAAGGCACTAGTGTCTTCATCTTTAACGTGCCTTGGCCACCAATCCAACATTGTCTTACTGTAATA